GTGGGTCGGCTTGCGAATTGCTCCGAGGATCCTTCGGAGATACCGAGGGCTGGGAGGCCTCGCGGACGAAGGGAAGAGGTAGAGGACGACGGGCGGGGGCCGGGCGGATGAGATCGCTCGTCCAACACGAAAAGAGGGGCAGGTTCTTGATCGCTCAGCGTTGACGGGAGTCTGAAGTGTCCAGTGAGTAAAGTTGCGTTCGAGACTAAGGCGAGTGGGAGAGTTGGTAGCTGGACAATGAAGAAAGGGGGGAGGAGGGCGCAGTAGTCGCGGGACACGATGTGATTCAGAGCTAGAGCCTAGAAGGAGGAGGGACAGAGGAGGGCGGCGTCCAGGCCGAAATGGACAAAGACCAGGATCGTGGCCAGAGCGCGACAGTGTTGTGGCCTGGCGAAAGGTGGGCGGGAGAAATGAGGATGTGAAGTCAAGAGTACAACGAGGGGACTTTGGGGGACTGGAGCTCTATTTATGTCGCGGCCCGAGACGTCGAGAGCACGGCGCACTGTCTGGGGAAGGCGCCATACCCGATTGGGAGGGGCGCCAAACTCGGAGGGGCAGGCAGCGACTTCGCTTTTACCACTTTTATAAATAAGCGCATGGCCGTTTCCGTAAATTTGCATTATTAATTGCCCATTTATTTATTAAAAAGTAATTAATAACTTTTTGCGGCGTTTTTAATGCAAAACGCCAAAAATTTTTCCAACGCTTTTTTTATCGTTTCCAAAAAGGCAATTGGTTTTTACGCGTTTAAAATGTTTGGGTTTTTATCGGGTTTTTGGAAAATAATAATGCGGAATTTCCGGAACCTTTCCGGGAAATAACCGCGGTTTACGCATGCCGTAAACATTTTTGCTAATGCTTCGAAAAATGCCGGTTTTATTGCTAGCAATTTCCCGGTAAAGATTTCCGTTAGGCTTAAAGCTTTCCAATATCTTATGCTTCGAAAAGTCCTTTTTACATTTTTTGCGGTAATTTTTTTGCGAACAAGCAAAGGTTAAAAGGGTGGTTCGGGGTATTTGGGGATATTGGTAATGTCCGCCGTTAATATAAAAAAAAACTTCCTTTTTAAAATTGCTTTTTTCGCTTTTTTTGTTGCCGTTACCTTTTTGCTTGGTAATTTTAACAATAGGAATAACGGGGGGGGGGAAAAAGTTGGTAACTTTTGTATTTTGCCCATTTGGCAATGGTTTATATGCTTTTAGCGTTTTATATAATGCTTATTTCGTGCATTGCGGTACGTTACGTATACCTTTTCGCTATTTTAATAGCGCTTTTCTTTTTTTTGGTAGCTTTTTTTATTATTGCGTAATTAATTTCCGAACGGTTTGCTTTTTACGTTAATTTGGCCCGGTGCTTATTGCGGAATAGCTAAAAAAAAATTTCCGTTTATTAATTATAGCTTCCGGCTTTCCCTTTTAGCTTTGGTACGGTTAAGTTGCAAATTTCCAATATTGCTTTTATAATGTTATTTATTTTTTCGTTAATTGTTTAAAAGTTAATAAATGGTTGTAACGAAAAAGGGATTTTGTTATTCGTTAAGGATTTAACAAGTTTTTTATTAATTTTTTTCCAATTCCAACCTTTTAAAGTTGGTGCGTAAAGGTTTAAAATGGTTTTTAAAATTGTAATTACCATTTCCGTATAGTTATTGCTACTTTAACGCCATTTTAACGGCTATTGGGTTTTTAATTTTCCGGTAGCCCAAGTTAAATTAATGGTGGTATTTTTGCAATAAAAGGCGAATTTCGTTGCCGCGTTTTAGCGAATTATTAATTGCATGCTTTATAACTTTGTTAAACCAATTAATTTGGAAGCTTTTGCGTGCATCGGTGCATTTTTTAAGCGCTTTAATATTTATACTTTATAATAAAGGTTAAAGTTTTTTATTATTAAGTTATTGCTTTTCGGTTTTTTTCCGGCAAATTCGTTAATAAATGTTATCCAATTTGTAATGGTTATGCTTTCCGGAAACGGGGAATAAACCAACCAAATCGTTATATTTTTGTTTTAAATGCCGATTGTAATTTTGTACCAATCCGGTTTTGCTTCGTAATTTAAAATACGTAGCGTTAATTTAATATAAATAATTGTTTTGGTAATGGGGGGAAAAGGGGGAGCAGGTTGTAATGGTAAGAAAAGGGAAAGCGCGTTGCCTTTTTTTTGGCGGTTTTAAAGGGACCCCAATGGGTTGCCGTATGGTTGCTGCGGGGTAAGGTTGTATATATATTAAATTAGCTTTTTTCCGGCTTACAACGGGGATTTGGCGTTTTTTTTCGAATTTTTTGGTAGCTTTTATATTGCTAATACGTTAAAGCTATTTTTTTTCGCTAATAATGCGTTAAATATTTCCGGTTTTTTCGTTACGTTTTATTAAAAAACTTTTAGCATTGGTTTTTTCGTTAAAAAGGTCCTTTTTTGCTTTTGGGGAAAGCGGTAACGTTAACGCTTTTTTTTTGTATAGCTAGGTGTTAAAAGATTGTATGTTATTAAATGATTGGGAAAAGGTAAAGCTTTTTTGGCTGGCTTTTTTTATTATTTCCCGTAGCGGTAAAAGGGACGCGGGTATTGCCGGGGAATTGGGTTTTATTAAGGGGTTCGCGGGGGGGGTACGGGGGGAAAAAAGTTTTGGAATGCGTAAGCTTTGGTTTTTTACAAATAGCGTAATAATTGCGTTCCTTTGTTTTGCCGTATGGAATTTTTTAAGCCTTTTTACAAATTGTTCGGCCGATTTTAAAAAGTTCCTTTTCCGTTTTATGGGTAAAGTTGGTCGAAAAAAGGGTAATTTTAACTTTACGTCGATTTCGTTGCGTGTAAGGGTTTTTTCGGTTGGCGGGGTTATGCTTTGGGTTGCTATTGGTATTTAAAAAAAGGTTGTTGCAAAAAGGTTATTGCTTTTTTTTGCTTAATCGGTTTTTTTTTTGCTTCCGTATAAGGGCTGCTTTTTCCTGGAGTAAAAGGGGGGATTTTGCCCGCCCCGCTTCCGGCGGCGATTCGGTTTGCAACAATTTCGAAATAAAGGTTATTGGGATTTCGTAATGGGTAAATTTTGTAAGCCAGGCTTTTTTTTTGCGTTATTGGGTTTGTTTTTGCATTGGGCAATGCGAAAAGTAAAATGGGTATTTAACTTTGTTGTACGGGATATAAAATGCCCCAAATATATTTTTTGGCGATTTTTTTGCTATTTCCTTTTTTTTTATACCGTTTATTATTGTATTTTTTTAATTTATATTACGCATACGCCGTAATTTATTTGCATTGCATGTTTTTGTATTTTTAATTTAAATAGCGGTAACATTGCGCCGTAATTAATTTGGGGTTAAAAAGTTGGTATTGGTATGCCAATTTATTTTATCGAAAATAATCCTTTTGCAAATTTATTACGCTTTTTAAATTTGCAATTTGGAATAACGCCGTTACTTTTTTTTGTTACTTTTTTTTTTTATAACAAAACGGTAACCCGTTCGATATTTCCATGCGGGTTTTTGGCGTTAAATGCTTTTATTAGCTTTAATTAATATTTCGCTTTGTTTTTATCGTTAAAGAAAGGTTGGAATTTGCTGGTTGGTAAGCCCGTTATTACTAAAGCTATTGTTAATTTGGTAATTTTTAAGCTATCCGTTTATTTGGTTATGTTTTAAGCCGCAAAAGGCGCGTATTACGTCCGTAGCCGGTTCGTTGCGGCGGGGTTGCCGTAACTATTTGCAACCCCTTTTATATTTTTGCTTATATCGTTCGTTTTTAGCCCGGGCCGGCATTTTTTTTCCGTTTGTTAACGGGTGCTAGCATTTTGGAAATGCAAGCGGACGTTTTTTAACGAATGCTAATGGGCCGTTTCGATCCAGCCTTTACCCAATTCCTTATTGCAAATCCGCTTAATTTTTTCGGGTTTTATTTTTTAATTTTTTATTTCCGGTAACAATAAAAATTTTATTGTTAATTATAAGTATTATCGCTTTTTTGGCTTTTATTGCTTGGGGTATTTTGGAAACGGTTTGCGCTTTTGCGGTTATTTAAACCTAGGTTTATTTTTTATTTTTTCCGTTTGCGGCCGCAGCTTATTGCGCTTGGTCCTTTTTTTTTAATGTAATTTTAATTTATTCGAAAAATTGGAAAATCGTTTGGATCGCGTTAAAGTTAATTGTTAGGGTTATTAAAGTTGCGGTTGTTTGGTTAATTGCTTTAACGTATCGAACAAATTTCGCAATAATTTCGGCGGCCGTAATTTTTTTTTTTTTTTTATTAAGCAATTAAAAGTACTTTTTTACGAATTGCATCGTTATTATAATTAATTAGGTTTTTTTCGGGCTTGCGGTTAGTTTTTGTCGTGGTTGCTATTGGTTTGGGTAATTCCCGTCGCGTATTGCGTGCTTCGATTGGTTAAAGCCAATGGCCTTTTCCATCGACGCCGCAATAACGCCTCGGGGTATCATCGAGCCCGCTTAGCCCTTAAGCAAACTGGCGTTTCCGGTTCTCGTAATGGCTTTAGTTTTTCTGTATGTCGTTGTTGTCGTTGCGCGCAAGCAGAAAACGTCTTTTTTCCAAAAATGTATATATTAAAAGCGTATTATACTTTTAAATGGAAATAATAAGTAAAACATATACATAACACTAATTTAAAAATTTATATACGTAATATTTAATAAACAATAAGTTATATAAAGTAAATTATATACTTAAAATGTTTTCCTTTTAATTAGTTATTAATTTTATAAAAAAACTTTTTTAATATATAAACTTTAACATTTAATCATTTAATTAATTACTAAATAACCGTTGGTTTAAATTTTTTAAAAACGAGGTATATGATAAATTCGTTATTTAAATTTATAATACAACTGACCGTAGTTTAATGCATGCTTTAGGGGTAAAGTTATAGCGTTTTAAAGTGGTAGCGTTTAAAATGGGTAGCGAGCGGTATTTTTGTCCTCCCACTGTAGCTACGCGATTACTCACTGATAAAAGATGCTGACAGTAATGGAGACCCCCAGTGCTACCAATTCCTGCGGCGCGCTTAAAGTATGGCGTGAAGAAGGCAGGCTGTGGCGAGATTGCCAGCCAAACTGCTTGGCAAAACGAGTCGGCGCGTCTCAAAGCGAATCAACAGTTCAAATTTTGATGCCTAACCTTTAAGGTAGCACAAGAAGCTGCACAAGATCAGCAGCTGAGAAAGGGCTGGACAGCCCGAAGCTGCATCTGAAGCTCCTGGCACCTACTGGTTAAGTTTTTTTATACCTGTTTTCGCAGTCACCTCCCTAATTCGACGCCACGACAAGGCCCAGCAGAACAACAGAGGAAAATAACTAGAAGAGTGGAGATTAGAGACCACACGTGTCCTCCCTACTGGCCCGGACTGGAAATGTCCGGATATACATCGTAAGTGAGCACAAAGGCCGAACCGCCGCATGTATGTCCCGGATTTAGGGGCGGTACGCTCACAAAAGCGGTGCCGCAAGAGGCTGCCTGGTGAAACAACCTCCCAGCCTTACCTAACGCCTTCCGCTCCCAATCGGAACCGGAGGCGCCCGCAGTTGGCGGATGACCCCCATGCTGCGACACCCTGTCCCACACCCAAGGACCCCAAAGACGCGTGGAGGCTTTGCCGCGCGCGAGGGCGAAAATTCAGATCGCGACGGGCGCTTAAACGGGTGGAGGCCGGCCCTCCGAAGCCCGAAGGCGTCCAGGCCCTACATAACGCGATTTTCGAAGAGACGTCCGAGCAATATCTGGTTTAGAAGCCAGAGAGGTAACGGAAAAGGTCGAGCGGACTGCATCTGTCTGAGATTATCAGAAGACTGTGAGCGCTAGCGCTTAACTTATCACCATAATTGGTGCTCAAAAGGCTTTAGCCGAAGGCCCTATGATTCTCCGTCCTGGCATCTTCCTGCTTGTCTGTTGCGCCCAGCAGAATAGACCGCATGCACACCGTATGGGTTCTCGTGTCTACGATATCCCAGCACGCGCCGTGTCACAAAGGAGGAAGGTATGTAGGCGCACTTCGGGGGCCGGCTCGATGTTGGGCCCGATTTGGGCACACCGAACGGGTACCTCGGAGTCGGATATCAAGCATGGAGGACAGGGGTCGAAGGTGTATATAATGGCAAGGAGCCGGAGGCTCCTGTACCAGATTCCTTTCCTCCTCAGAGAGATAAACCAAGCTTCAATAGAGCCTACCTTGCCTCCCTTCTCCTTGCAACACGCCGCCCTTCTCGTCGTCACCGTCATACACATCCTTTTCACCATCCTTTTCGTCGTCGTAATAGTCGTAATCGTCGTCGCTATCCGCGTGCGCGCCTCCCCAAAGGCCGTCGTCCAGGCGCCGCAAGCGGTCCAGCCTGAACTTGCTGCAGCCGAACGAGACCACCCGGACCACGGTGTGGCTGTCGAGACGTCCGGCGTCCTGCTAGCTCCTGATGAAGGCGCGGATAGCGCGCGACGCCCAAAGTCGGATCGCCGCCGCCCGCCGCCTCGGGCTGGCCCCAGACGCCGGAGGTTATGACGTAGATGTTTGTGCCGGGCGGCAGCGGGGCGGGCGCGTAGGACAGCCAGGGGAAGCCGTGGTGCCGCTGGGGCGGGGCCGACGTGAACCATACCTCGGGGCCATACCGGTCGACGTGCTTGACGACCTTGACGATGGCCTCGAGGGCGCGTTTGAGCTGCCCCTCGTGCTCGATCATGTCGCCGTAGTTATCGATGAGGAAGATAACCTCGGCCAATACATCGTATCAAATCTTTTCATATTCCTCGTTTCCCCCGGTGCAAGGCTTGGGCCCTTTCATACATGTAGCAAAACATACATGGTCACGTCCATCGAGTTCTCTTTGAACGTCTGCAAGGAAAGGTTCCATGACTTTGAGGAGATCAGGCTCCCGTGACCACTCCCAAGCGTTGCGGTAGTCGCTGACACAGTCGACGTGGCTTCGCTATGCTTCGGTTGCTTTCGAACGAGCGGTACTCGGGTTTGCTCTCCTGCCTGGGGCGGCGATTTGAAGTTGTCCGATTTGGTGGACAAGCGCCGGGGAATTGAGCCGTCCGTACCCCAATTAACTCCAGAATCCGCCCGGGCTTGCTGGATGTAGGGCTTGATGGGACTGCTCCGTGCCGTCCAACTGATGCCAGGCCTCTGTTTGGCGTTCACTAGGATGTTTTCGACGAGGGAGTCGACGATCCTCCCGGTGATGCCGTCGAAGACCCATTGGTTTCTGTTAGTCGGTACTGCTATTCCTTTGACAGAAGTAAGCGCCTCCTCGCCATTGTGGAAGCAGCCTTCGTAGCCGACGATAAATGGGGATGTGGGAAAGCGGTCCGATTGTTCCTTCTTATGCACCCGGGTCCGGAAGAATTCCGCGGCGGCCTGGGTTCCTCCTCCCAGCCACACGGCGACCTCGAGCATTAAGCAGGACATCGACCAAAGATCGGTGCTGCTGCTGGTCATCCCGACATAAGCGTCATTCCCATGCCCGATGAACTGCTTAGGGGCGACGTAGTTGCTTGGGGACCAGGGGTAAGGCTTGGACAGATCTGGCATCGGCTGTAGTTGGCGGCTCCAGCCCGGGTCGCCGAGCTTGACGTCTACTTTTCCGCCGCCGCACTGACCGCCGCTACTGGACGAGTCGTATGGGGACGAGACAAAGAATATGTTGGCGGGTGTGATGTCGTGCCGGACGTCGGCGCCGGCTGCGCCGAACTGAGCGCCGTCGCGGCATCCGGTGAGGGGACTGCCGAGAGACCGGCACAATCTGGCCAGGCCGGGCCATAGCTGACGGATTTCCTCTGGAGTGTCGGGTGCACGGTTCTGGTCGAGCCACTCCCGCAAGCTTTGTCCATCCGTAGGCGTCCGGTCGTTTGGTCGATGATCAACGGGGCTGAAGCTTGATCGAAAGTCCCGAGAGTATTGTTTAGGGCCACACCGGCCCAACGTATGCGAGCCCCGCACGGGCTCATTGTACGCGGCGGAGTCGCCTCCGATGGGCTCGAGCTCTTCCTATGGATTGCGGTGGACAGATGTCGGTTAGCAAAGCCAGTTTTGGCGCATAGAGTGAGGATTCCACAAAATATTGAAGAACCCAAGGGCAAGGGTTTGTACAGAAAGTCCACAGTCGCTGTAGTTTGGGTACGCGGAACCTCGGTATCTTGACTGGCCTTGGTCCTGCCGTCGAGAGTCCATGGCCGGTAGATGTGACAATCTGACGCGGTTAGATTAGGCTGTGTGTCGACAGGCGATGTATGCAATGCACAGGTTGATATCTGACAAGGGGGCCACGCATAAGAACATGGAGAGAGTATCCGCAGGATCGAATGTGCCTATTGTATTTGGAGGAAATTGTTGAAATCCCAGCACTGTGCAGGCACAGGAACAAGGAGCCCATGATCTGTGAATCATGGGGCCCGGCAAATGCCGCTCAAATAATGTATAAAAAGGGAGCTTCCAGCTCCCTCCTTCCAGATCGCAGTACCTAGAAGACAGACACTTTTACTAAATAGATTCAACCAAATCATTATCCCACATCTTTTGGAGATCTCCTTTTAAGGACTCACAGTCCTTCCAACACTCTCTCTCTCTTTTTATCAACTTTCCGTTGTCAAACTAGGAGGCTCCTTAGGGGGTGTCTCCTATAACGAATCTGGTTGAACACACCGGTCCTGCCGCAGCCGTGTAGCGGCCAGTCTGCAGCTTTTCTTATCTGCCATTTCAAGCAGTGCCTGAAGGCACGCTGCACCACTACCTCCGAAAACCGGCCCGCCAGTCAGGGGCCTCGGGATGCGACTTGTTATATAAGTGCTTAAGGCCGACATTGGTCGGCTGATGGGCTTGGCTTGCTAGCTACCGTGACAGCAGTCGGTGGGCTAGACCCTGTATCTAGATTATGTAGTAGTCGCTAGCACGTCTTATGCCACTAGGGAGGAGAGAGTGAGGCAGCCCTTGCTACAGACGTTAAATATACCATACCATACCGTGCCGGCCATGGTAGAACCAATATTTGTGTTCCACAATGGAACCCAGGTTTTGTTAGCCCGTCATGGAAAGCTCAGCCCCCTGCCCCCACCCACACAGAGACTTGGCATCAAAACACGAAACCAACAGACCATTAGCTGCAGCTTCGGCGGCTGGGGGCTGTTGAAGCAGTGATGTTGGCGCTTAGCGCAGCACCTGACGACGCTCATTACTAATCCGTGGAGGCCTCTACAATTGCTTGCATCGTACATTAGATTTATCTCGCGCCTTCGGAACCCCCATGTTAGGTCACCATCTGCGGACCCAGCGCTGCTACACAATTTATCATTATTCGTTGAGCAGCCACAGCAAGCAAGGCTGCCGCCGTCTTCACTCCTTAACCCTATCTAGCCCTGCATCAATACCCATCGCAATGCAAGCATTCAGCACCTTCTGCCTCGACGTCGACCCACGTACGCGGATACGCGAGCTTTATATCACGGACAAATACGTGGTCGCTCCAGGTAGCCATACGGTCGTTCACAGCTTCGCATGTTTGCAGTGCCAGCAAACCCCGGCAGGCGAAGCGTGTCCGAATAACCATGCCGTAATAAAAACGGGGCCAATTTGGGATTCGGCTTGCCACCCAACGTCCAACCTTATGTTAACGGCATCGTTCGAAGGGAAGATAGTGCTGTGGGACCTTACAACGGGGTAAGGTAGATCGATAAACGCTTCTTTTGCCCTTTACTAACCTTTTAAAACCCCTTTTCTACCTTTTTTTTTCCCCCGATGCTATCAGCGCTTATATTCGCGGTTTCAGTCACGAGCAAAACGCCCACAAGGTCGTGTTCCTCGACGGAAGTTCAACCTTTGCTTCGGCGTCTAGGGGCGGGGATATAATGTTGTGGACCTCGACGGCAGGAGAGCCGACGGACGTCCTCCGGGCCTACGCCGGCGGCAGTATCGCCATGCTCCTGAAGCTCGACAACGGTAGTGACGGCAACTTCCTTGCCGCGAGCTACGGGGACGGCGCGGTCCGCATCTGGGACCTCGCCACCAAGACCTGCGCCCGCGTGCTCGCAGGCCACGCCGAAGGCATCAACATCCTCTCGCTCGCGCCGGGCCCGGATAGCCACCGCCTCCGCGTGGGCCGCTTGGGCGTCCTCCGGATCTGGGACTGGAAGACCGGGTGCGCACGGCCCCCACCACGCCCTCCTCTTTTCCTTGGGTCTACTGCCCGTCCAAATCAAGAAAAAACATGGTGCTAACAGGAACAACAGGACGCTTATTGCGCACCTCGAAGACGCCGAGTGCAGGGCAAACGAGCAGCTCTTCGACGACGTCGGCGGGAGCGGCCTGATGCTTACGTACGGGCTGCCGGGCAACGTGCACGCCTGGACCCAAGACGGCGTCCGCGTCGGGGCGGCGCACGCGGCGCACGACGCGCCGCTGCGGACGCTGGCCCGGCTCGACGACCGGCTCGTGGTCTCGGTCGGCACCAAGGACGGCCGCGTCAAAGTGTGGCGCTGGGGCCCTGGGCGGGCCGACGGCGAGCGCAAAAGGTGGCTGTTTGACCTTTTTAGCGGGACCTGGATGGTTAGGACCGTCGTTGCCGCGTCCGGGAGGCTCGCCATCGCAACACAGGAAAAGGACAGCGGCCTCCACCACGTGCGTATCTGGGATCTGGAGGCGGTTCGTGCCTTTGCCGCGTCGCATATCGATAAGGAGACCTAGGTGCGCAGTGTTTCCACATACGGTCTGTCGACCCGGCCCTTTCGCTGCCATGGACGAAGGTACACAGGTAGTTCCCTGCGCCACGCTGGTAAGCCTTGCAGCCTGCCGTGTACGCGGTAGTGTGGTTCCGGTTAACTAAGCATCGTATGCAAGGACTGCCTAATATTTAACGCTGGTCTCGGGAGCAAGGTTGCTACATTTACCGTTTCCTTCTCGCCCTGTAGTAGCACGTACTGCTTTTGCTGTCGACAGGCTTCCGTCCGCTTCCCTAGCTCTTGACTGGCCGGCCTCTTTCCACACAAAGTCCGATGTCCCAAAGTTGACCGTAACGCTTGCCGCGCCATGTGAATGGCCGACGTAAGGATATTACTTGCGGTATCCCCTTGAGGGCGTTTATAATATTCCTCACTCAGGGGGGCACATTTAAAATACAATGATGATGCAATCATGCCGCGGCCCCCCGTACTACGCACGTTCTTTCGGTCAATACCACTAGATGGCGACGACCAACCTCTCAACTTGTGATGTATCACATGTCGGGACTGTCGGATGGAGGGCGCGGTGGAGAAGGTAGGGAGGGGGGAGAAATCCAAATCCGCCAGCAGGCGCGCGCGAGGCTAGGGACGGGAGGCGTCTCCGCGGTACCGACCAGGCGCGCGCTCTCGGCTGGCAAGGGGAAGAGGAAACGACCTGTCGAAGCTCCCTCCACCTCCCACCTGGGCGGACCGAAGGATTGAGGGCGTTTTTGACGCGCTGTTGGGCCGCCGTAGCCGGGAGGATACGAGCGGCACGCACACACACACAAACACACACGTTGTGTGTGATGGAGGATTTCATTCTCCCTGATTTGTGATGTCTCAAATTTTATCTCCAAGCTAAAATATGACGCCGACGCGATCCTGTCACCTACCCATCATATCATCATCAGCCCCAAAGGAAGCCAGAGCACAGGCTGGCTCCCGAGACCAGAAGGGGGGAGGCGCCGTTCCATGTTTCCTTGTTTCGGACGCCACCAGCCAATCGGGGGATATTGTCCAGTGGTGGAGCGAACCCGAAGGCGGCAGGCCCGGCCGGCTTTAATTTCTGGCATGGGGAGCGAGCAAAATGAAGCAGGGGAGGCTTGGTCGCTTCTGGGCCAACAGCAAGCTGCCTCCGGGGCTCGATCCCGGTTGGTTGGTGTGCCTCGGTGCCTGTTAGTCAGGGGAGGGATAAGAGCAAGTTTTTTTAAGTTTTTTTTAGTTCGCCTCCCTCGCCATCGCGTCGTCTCCCGCTGGTGAGCTGCGTAGTGTTGGACGGTTAGTTGTGCACAGCACTGTGACGCTGGATTTGGTTTATTCCTCCATTCGTTTATTCTCCAGTGCTTCGACCAAGTTGCCCACCCGGGCTAGGTCGCAAAACCGTGTGGCCCGCTCCACCTCGACACTCCCAGTGGAGAGTAAGTTTAGGTTAATGATTTCATCCCGAAGCGAGAGCTGTGAACAAATCACTGCGTATGTCCGGACAATTCCCCTTGTCCATCCTTCATTATGTCCTCGGCAAGACGAGGGGAGCAGCTGCTCTGTGTGTTTACTTTTACCAGGTAGTTGGCCAAAAAAAAAAAAAAAGCCTCACTCACCCTTGAGCCGGAACCAGGTCCCGTAACCATCGGCCCATGGCAGCGAAGGGAGGGTATGCACCTTGGACTCGAGTGCGGAACATGTGACGGTGACGGTTCTCGTCACGTCGTCACGCAAATTTCCCCCGTGCTGCGACGCTGCAGCCAGCAGCCTCTTTGCAAAGTTCACCCGACGCGGACCATACCAAGCTTGGCGCGGAGGACCGCGATGGCGTTGCTGTCGAGGCGGGGGTATAACGGCTGGGAAATTCTGATCCCTTTTTCTTGATTGATCTCCTTCTCTCGTTAGCAGGGTCCACCCTGATCATCGTGGGAAAACGAGCAGAGGGAAATTGGCCGGTCCAGCGTCGAGCGTCCCCATTCGACAGCCATTCGGCGTTTCAGGAGCTATCACACAGGACGCCTTTACCAAGACGGCCTAGCGCGGGCCGGGGCTGTCATGAGAAGAGGACGTGGGACCCTGGTCGGGGGGAGGAGGAGCGTTCTGGTCCATCTCAATCAGCGCCCTCTCCCTCACTCCCGTATCGCACAGGGTTGAATTTCCCACAGGACGCGAGCACAATCGAGGCTTCTTTGCATAGGTCTCAGACTGACACTTTGTGCCACCTCCTTCTCCTGGCCTGCCCTCACCCGCGAAGGATTCTTGTGCGTCGCCGGCATGGCCGCAGGCTGCACAGGCACCGTTCTGTGCACCACAGCAGCCAGCTAACCCCCCCGTGGAGTGATGAGCGTGGAACATGTTCGTCCCTGCCGTGGAAACACGAAGAAAACGGAAAAGAAGAAGCCAATACCGAAAGAAAGCGACCGGGCTTCCCTGCCTTTGTGCGAAATGGAGCGTCCTGCAGCTAACCTTAATGGGTGGGTGCGCAGCAAAAGGTCTGAGTGGAGGCGGTCACTGAGAATGAGCTGGGTATTATATATTGTGCTGCTATATCGGGTCATCGCATGAGCTTGCTCCCGCACACGCGCGGATGGTTTATGAACCGGCGGATATCCATGACGATCACGTCGAATATCTATCGAGGGCACATATTTGTGTCCCGTGTATATTCCAGACGGGATGGACAGTCAGTGTCGAGGTTGGGGTTCTCATCCCGGTGAGCTGGCGGTTGTGCCGGACTGAAAAGGGGTCCCGGTGGCGTATCTCTGCGCCTGCGATTTGCGAGCGAGGAGTAAAGGAGCACCCCAGGGGGTCAAATCTGGACCTGCAAGTTGCCAAGGGCACGTTGCTGTAGAGGGAACTCGGGGTGCAACACCGCACAGAGCGTATTGGTGGCGATAGCAAGCACGAGAAATATCAAATATTGTGGGTACGCATTATCATCCGGATGTCTCCACGCACTGCAGTGGATGCACTGGATGCCTCCACATGGATATCTTGGTTCAGTCCTTGTATGCCGGCCTCTATCACAAGGGTTATTTTCGAATCCTCAAGGGTTCGGACGGGCTGCAAGACTGCCGTCTTATTCGTGGTGGGCGTGGACGCGTCCCAACGCCCCTCTTTTGTCGAGTCAATGGACATGCCAGCCTTACGTGGTCCAAACAAGATGTCAGGAAGAAGCAGCAGGAAACCAGGTCAGGAAACGCACTAAAATGCATGTGCCGTACCCGACTCCTCTGTGGGGATTTTAGTCTAGATATGCTGGTTGGATGCCGATCTGGGGATGAGAGTGCTGATGCATCAGGCATCAGGGAGATGTCAAAATGTCGAAGTTGGGCCGTTACGTTGAAGTTCTTCTCGGACGAGGAAGCTGGACAAACAGAGGGGGCAGGCTCCGTGGTCGGAGAGGAATAATGACAGACGAGCCGTTTCGATTAGAGATAAAATAAACGAAAAGAAAGAAGAAACGAAGAAACAAACAACCCTGGCGACGACTGAAGAGAAGAAGATGGCCGGGATGTCTGATGCTACGCTCTGGAGGTCTTGTGTTGCATCCTCTCTCCCCTGTCGGGCTGCCGAAAGTGGCGGGAACTCAATCCCCCTTTCTGCTCAGGCCACCACCACACAGCACAAGACGCAGGCCAATCATTGCCTGTTGGGGCTCCCATCCGGCTGGACGACGACAGGCCGCCACGGCCGGATGCGCGACCTGCAGCTGGGCCATGCTGGGTGGATGGGATGGGGACGGATGGGATGGGGACGGATGGGATGGGGACGGATGGGATGGGGACGGATGGGATGGGGACGGATGGGATGGGGACGGATGGGATGGGGACGGATGGGATGGGATGGGGACGGTGGACGGCTGGTGTGGATGGGGACATGGGGGGTGGCTGCTGGGCCCCTTGCACAAGCTAGGACGGATACGCCGCTATGCAGACCATCCAGACAAATCGCACAGCAAAAAGAGGCAGAGCTCCCCCCAGATGCTTCCATGCTTCCGTCTGCAGACCGTTCGGCTCGATCGCCTGTGGACTTGCCTGTGGACTTGGAACAGCCAGAGGTGGAGGCGCGCAGAGTGCATGGGTGTACCATCCCCAGACCTTCTTTTAGCCCGTTGATTGCCAGTCTTTGGGTACGGTACGGGGCGAGCAACGAAGCCTATTATTTGGTTGTTTTCTTCTGTTCCTGTCCGCCTTTCCGCCCGTCGGCCGCGTCGTCTTCTTTTCTCTTGTTCTTTTTGCTGCCTCTTAGCTCTACACCCACGCACGGGCGTTGTGTGGTGCCTGCCTCGACTGTGAGCACCTTCCGACTCGGGCAGGTTAATTGAACGCCTCGACATCGACAGCTTGGGCTCGAGTCCCCCGCGCCTCCGCCCAGCGGGAAGCCGACGAACAGACGCTGCGTCCCGCCGACCCACGTGCACGAATCACGACATCCTGTCTCTCCAGACGGCAGCGAGGATACCCTGGGGAGAAAGAGAGGGTGGTGCAAACTGCACAGGACACACATCGCCGCCACGGTTGCTATTCTCAACGGTGCTGGACGGGCCGAGCGACGTTGGCGTTCGACACGCTCTGCCGAGCTGAAGCCTTGGACCTGGGCACGTCGACCACACCGACAAGGGGGTTGCCTGCGGTACTGTTGCAACGAGCCCTCTGAAGCTCTGACGGCTGCGTTTCATGCGCGGTTGCCGTCGGCACGCGCTTGGGGGGAGGTCATAACAGCGACAAGCCGGACGTCAGCCCGCGTGGGAACGGGATACACCGTTGCCATCTCGAGTCCTTCATCGAGTCCACGGCGCGTCATCTCCAGCTCGGCCGTCATCGGGGACACGAGCCAAGCGGGAAGCGCTGCGCACAATCCGAAAAGTGACGCCCAGTCCAAATTTCCTTCAGCCACCCGACCTGGCTGATCGCCTGCCCTGTGCTCCCGGGCCTCTCAATTGCGGAACCCGTCTGCTGTAAGTGGGAACCCTCTGCTGATTTATTAATTGCTTTCTTCTCCCTGTGTGCCCCTGCTGTGCCAAAGCTGCCAGGGGAATCCCCGTTTGTGCGGGATTGCCGGTTTTGGGCCGTTTTCCTCGGATTAAGGCCGCTGCTATCGACCGGGCATGGAGCTCGTCTGGCTTTAACGTCGGGTCGAGCGACCATCAGTGGGAGGCGGGAACAGGGGTTTCGTCAGTGTCACCGTCACAGCATTCATTGGTGCTAATTCCCGAAGGCTGCCTTATAGTGCCGCGTTCGCGCAACCTACTAGCTCAACGACGCAGCAGCGCGAGTCTGCGGGACAGCAGTCTTTCCACTCACAAACCTTCTGGTTGTGGCTGCCGGCTTTTTGCTATTGGCCTTCTTGTCATCGCCGAGCATCTTTCACCGTTTGGCGCCCGTTGAGCCGAGTTTATCCTTCGATTCAGGGCTCTCTTTGCCGACCCGGAACTCTATTTGCCTCAAAAATCGGGGTTAAGAGTAAGGATCAAGAGGTAACGACACAACCCGCCGCCAGCTTGTCGTACCAGACGACTTATCACGTCCAGCCTTGGTACAACGGAGGCTTGCGTTCGCTCCTGTTCCAGGCTCGTGGTATCGCCGCGGCTCCGTAGAGCTGTGAAGCAAACGTCTCATTGCATGTCCATTCTCCCCTTCCGCCTCGCCAACCGACGACAGGGATCACGGTGGACCCTAGACGTCTCTTCATTGACTCGAGTCGTATTAACTATCCCTCCCGCACCTGGAGCTTCCACTCTCGCCACACCTGGGACCACTTGTCTTTGCACCAACTAAATTATGGTGTGAGACCTGTCCGACGACATCTGCCATCCGCCGGACCACCGGAGCGTCCGTGACTTTCGCAGCTTTGAGAGAGCGAGGAGAAGAGGGAGCAACCATGGTGTTTTACGAGGATTCGGGAGCAATGTCTATGTGGGAGACTGAGGACGAGGCGACAGCGGTCGGCCGTGTCGCTGCCGGCGCCTCACTACCGACTCCGCTCGACACCCCTTATAGGACGCCCTCTCGAGGTTCGAGGAATTCGCGCCGGTCTGTCACCCCGCCAGGAAAGAGGTTATCCGCGACGCCGCCATTACCCACCGACAAGACCGACCGTGCCTCCAAGAGGTCGTCGAAGGACTTCGCCACCGACGAGACGATTAGCATCCTAGATCCTCGCCGCTTTACCCCGACCCTGCACGCGAACCTCGTTTCGGAGATTTTGGCCTTGAGGAGGGACCAGGAGGAGAAGCTCAAGGCGATCGAGAACCTCGAGGTTGCCCTGCACGCTAGCAAGGAGGACCAGGAGTCGTTGCAGGAGAACCTGTCGGGCGCCACCAAGGAGAACCGGTCGCTCAGGCGTCAGCTGGATCTCCTCGAGGGTGGCACCTCGTCAGCGCTGAAAGAGCTGGCCCGGGAGCGCGATGAGGCCGTCGATGCTGCTGCCGAGGCTAGAAAGAGGCTGGACGCTAACCAGAAGCGACTGCGCGTCCACGAGGACGATTCGCGTCGGGTACACAACCAGTGGGCCGAGGAGAGGGAGGGCTGGGACCAGGAGAAGCGCAAGTATGAGCACAAGATTCACATAGCGGAAAGCAGACTGAAGATGCTACTGGAGGAGGTAGCGCAGTTCCAGGCTGCCCAGGCCGACGGGCTTGCAGGCGGAAACGAGAGTGACGCCGAAGACCGGGGCAAGGATAACGACGCCGCCAGCGTCCGGACCATGAGCATGACCAACAGCATCCGCTTCTCCATGATTAACGGAAACGGCATGGGCAAGCCCAACGGCCAGTGCCTCGCCGACGAGCTCAACTTTGACGGCGACGACGCTACCGACTACGAGACGGACCACGGATACGGACGCGACAGTGTCCTTTCGAACCACATGCGCAACACGAGCCGCGAGAGTGTCATGTCCAAGCTGCACAGGCGCAACCAGAGCAACAACAGTTTGATGAGGTCCGACAGCGTCGCCAGAGCCAGGTTTATGAACCAGCCTGCCCTGGAGCGCCTGGAGGACGTCATCAGGGAGGATGGGGAGGAAATGCCACCTCCGCCCCGGCCCAAGGTTACCTACACGGATTCGGCTGTGCAGTACTCGCCGCCGCCGTCTCCCAAGCTCAAGCCGGTGAAGCCCACAAGCACCGAGGCGCCACCGCCCATCCCTGCCAGGGCTTCTATGAGGCGTGACGACGGTTCAGAAAGCCCTGCCCGTGCTGACGGCGAGGTTGAGGCAAACCAGAGGCGGAAGCGCATCCACGTCGCGCGCCCTGTCGTCGCTGAACCTGTCGCTCCTGAACCTGTTGCTCCCCAGATCCAAATGGTCTCGACTGCCTCGCAGACGGTGGCCGAAAAACCCAAGCCGGCAATGGTTTCATCTTCAACCCAGATGACGACCGCCGCCATGGTCTCGTCCTCGACTCAGACTGATGCACCTCCCCCGACGCCGCCCGTCCTTTCAAAGCCCGAGATTGGCCTGATGCAAATCCCAAGTATCAGCATTCACCCACCCACAAGCCGCCCCTCGACGCCCAAGAAACCGCGTCTGCCGCAGCTCTTCAAGGACTTTGGCTGCCAGGTGGCCATCCTGTCGGCGCCAGCCACCGCCGTTTCATCTGTTGGTGTCCAAACGAATGAGATTCGTGTCGACAAACGTCTCGACAAGCTACCCGTGCACCTTCATCCGTCAGCCGTCACCTCGCGGCCCACCTCGCCAGCCATCCAGGGAACCGAGCCTGATGATATGGTCAAGTTCACCCCTGTCCCCGGCCACCTGCCTCCGCGAAACCCCCGGCGCCTTACTTCCCAGCGCAGCCTGTCGGAGATCCCCTCATCACCATCGCAGTCAACGGGTGAGGCTGTGAACGTGGAAGAGACCCACGACGCTTACCCAGGAAATAACGACGACGGGCCGTTGTCAAGCCAAAAGGCCCCTCTTCGACGCCCTCACCGTATCAGCAGCCTGTTTGCTGGGTTCGATGGAAACAGCTCCGACGAGGCCGATGAGTTTGGTGACGCTGACTTCAGCGATCCCGAGTTCAGGACCGCTCTGTCGGCGCCCAAGCCGAACGGCAAGGGCAAGAGGTCGTCCGGCAACTTTTCTGATTCTCAGATGCCGTCGAAGCAGAGCGGCAGGCACGCCGTCAGGTCCATGGGCCCTACCTCCACAAAGCTGTCGTTCCCGGATATAAAGGACAGGCGTGCCTCGGTTCAGGACGGCACCTCGTCCAAGTCTAGTGACAGGGCGCCTCCCGCTGCTGGCCCAAGCCGCTTCTCCATGATGCGCAAGGCAGTAATGTCGTCCCATCAAGGTCAGAAGAGCCCCGATCTGTCCGAGACCAAAGACCCGCCTTACCCAATTCCCACCCGCGCAAGCTCGAGGCGACCCCCGTTCAGTGCCAGCGCGCCAAGCGAAGGTCAGCAGAGCCCCACTCGCAGCGGCTTCCCTGGGCGACCCTCGCGGAACAACTCGGTCCGCAAGGTCAGATCAGCGGCGGCTATTCCGCGAAGGCACAGGAGGCGGAACAGTCGCTCGCCGCCGCCGCCCTTCTCTCCGGCCACCGAAGACTCCCTCGAGAGCCCTGTGTTGCCGCCTCTGCCGCACAACGACATCACCACGCCGCGGAGCCACGGCTACAGCAGCACCTCAACGAGGTATAGCCGATCCACGCACAGGCACCAGCCATCGAGCACCACGGCCGATACGGACCAAACCGGGGCCGGGTCCGTGGCCACGTCTGGCGGGCAGCCAGGCGCGACTGGGGTCGTGGACGCCATCGCCCAAACAATGGTGGGCGAGTGGATGTTCAAGTATGTGCGCAGACGGAAGTCATTCGGTCCCGTGGGCGAGAGCCAGGGCGGGGACGACAGCAGCAACGATCGGCACAGACGTTGGGTTTGGCTGGCCCCGTACGAGCGCGCTATTCTGTGGAGTAGCAAACAGCCCAGCTCAGGCAGCGCCTTGATGGGCAAGTCTGGGCGCAAGCTCACCATCCAGTCTGTCCTGGACGTCAAGGATGACAACCCGCCACCAAAGGGTGCCAACGGATCAGTCTTTAGCCGCTCTATACTGATTCTCACGCCGCAACGGGCCCTCAAGTTTACGGCGTGCAGCAGCGAGCGCCATTACCTATGGCTGACGGCTCTTTCGTTCTTGGCGCACTCGCACCAGGCAGTTCCCGAGAATCTGGCACCGTCTTCGTTGATTCCAAAAGCCATGCCCGACTTTGAGCTCTCCCAGCAGAAGCCGCGGCGCCCTGGAATCCGCGACTCCATCCGCCTCGCCAAGGGTAAGACTGCCATGGCGCGTGGCGGAGCCGTGACGCCGATCGGGTCCATCATGAGTGCAGCTCCCTCGTCGGCTGCCCAGAACTCGGATTTTGGTGTGCCGAGCCTTCCCAGCATTCCCGACTTCCCAGGCCTCGAGTCCATAAAGTCCGGAACTGCCAGCGGCGTTGGCTACTACGCCCAGCACCAGCGTGAGCTGTCTCGCGACGCCGCGGAGCCCCCCTTCATCCCGCGCTTCAACGATACGAGGATTAGCGTGACCGACCGGGCGAACCAGGCCATGGTACACGGCCGCAAGCGCAGCAACACGGGCGGACACATACCCCCTCCCATCTCCTTCCGCGGCTTCTCGGGCCCGATCGGCGGGGGTGGCAGCAGCAACGGCAGCTACCACCAGTCGACAAACAGCACAGCGGCGGCCAGCATCGACACGACGGGCTCCTCGGGCGTCCTGTCCAACCCCTACGGAAACCCGGGCTTTGCCGGCTCGCAGCGCACTTCGGAGGCGTCGTCGCGACCCAGCGGGGCGACCATGAACAACTTCTTCGACGCCATCGGGACGGTTCGGATGGAGGCCTTCATCAGTCCCCTGGCACCAAACCCCGCAATTGCCAGCACATTTAACGACTACCCGGACGAGCAGGAGGAGATGCGGTGGAGGGCACGCCGTCGCAGCAAGGAGGCCCGCCGCAGGAATAGTCGCAGCCGGCGTCGCGACAGCTACAGCTCCCGCGCCCGGGATGACGACTTTTTCCGCAGCGAAGACCCCTTCAAGGGCTTCTGAGTGGTTTTGATCCAGCCTCCTTTGCCCTTGCCCTTCTTGACAGCTTCTGCAGCCGTTGCGGCTTCGTACGCCGCATATTACTTTATGAGTTTACACCTCTCCGCCAACCCCCTTACCCGCCTCTCTATTCGACACCTCGAGCTCCAAGGTGGTCTCCCTGCCGAACCACCCCTCTCCTCCCAGGTGTATTCTCTTTTTACATATCCCTTCACGCCTCCATCGAGACGTCTCACTCATCTATACTGCCACGCATGGCCGCTCCTCGAAGCCGCCGCCCCTGCGAGGTCATATTACGCTTAATCCATAGGCATCCTATCACCCGGTACCTTCTACTACATTTTACACCAACGCTTGCTGGGATTGTCGGGCGTTTTGTATGCACGCAGCTTGGAATAGACGCTTTTGTTCATCGCCCGGAGGATTTATCTCGTTCCGCTTTCTTTTCCTGGCGGTGTGTTATCGAGGGAACGGCCTCGGTTGCGAAAGTTTTTGGTTGGTTGGCTGGCTGGTGGCTTCGGCCTCCGTCTTTGCTTCTCGCTCTCGTTCCTTGCCGTTGGCTTTTGCATTGTACTATCTCTGGTTTTCGATTTTTCTTGTGTTGCTTTTGCTTCTTCAGATTCTTTTCTTCCATGTTCTTTCTTATTCGTAATGGTGTCTTACAAAAAGAAGGATATGACGAAGTCATCGCCGCGAGGCTGACACGAGACGCTGAGCCGCTCATGAGTCTCACTTTTCTTTTGTCCGGATCCCTTCGTCCTACACGTTCGATATAGGGGAGGAGTGAATAACCAGAACGAGATTGGCAGACATAGGCATATCTAGCTAGTTGCTGGCATCGCGTACGTGCATTGGAAGAGGAGCTGCTGTGAGAATGACTGATTTCAACCAGCTATTGTATCGATAGTCCCAACGCTTGTGGAAAACAGCGTAGTATGTATCTAGGTAGTTTGAGTATCAAGCGATGTCTTTTTGCCTCATTTCTGTTGTCTGATGTGAGAGCTCCTCGTTTGTTACTTGATGCATCTCCACCCTGGTGGGCCTGTGCTTTGCCTGCCCCGCGACTCGCTTCGTCACCCCCACGTCAGCGCGTCTACAAATCCAATTGATATTTCCTCGAACTTTACCCTACAGTTTTTCTGTCCCTGGTGGCAGCTCGTGCTCTTCTCCAACCCGCATTCTCGACCACACCTGCCCTGCTCTGCCCTATAAACCCCCAGACCCGAGAGAATTTCCAAACCCAGCCACCCACGCAGCAGCAACAGACACCAGGAACGGGGCCATGGAGCCAGAATCCCTCGAGCAGGCGCAGGCGCGGCACCGCAAGGAGCTCAAGGACCTGCAGGGGCGCATCACGAGCAAGAAGAAGAACGCGACCAAGAAGACGCGCAAGGGCGTCAACGACGAGTGCGCCGAGCTGGAGCGCCAGACGAAGGAGCGGCACGAGGCCGAGCTGCGGGCCCTGAGTGGGGAGGCAGTGGCTGAAGAGCAGGAAGAAGAAGAAGAAGAGGAGGAGGGGGAGGAGGAGGAGACGATAGAAACACAGACTGCAGCAGCAGCAACAATAGAAGCGGACCCGCCAGCGCCGTCGTCGAGCAAAACAACAACAGACGAGCCCCCACCACAACAGGCGGCAGGCAAGAAGCGCAACCGGCAAAAGGAGCGGCTGGCGCGGCGCGCGGCGGAGCAGGAAGCGGCGGTCGAGCAGGCGGCGGCCGAGGCGGCGGGCATGGTGGACCACCGGTCGGCCGAGGCGGCGCACATGGCGCGCGAGCTGGCGGCGCACGCGCTGGCCGAGAAGGCCATCGCGCCCGACGGGCACTGCCTCTTTTCGGCCGTGGCGGACCAGCTGTCTATGATGTCGATACCGTTGCAGCAAACAACAACAACAACAACAACAACAACAACAACAACAACAACAGGTAGTAATAGCAACAGCAACGAAGATGATGCAAGGCCACCACCATACAGGGTGGTGCGGCGCGCCGCGGCAACCTACATTGCCTCCCACGCGGGCGACTTTGCGCCCTTCCTCGAGGAGCCGCTCGAGAGCTACGTGCGCAAGATCGGCGAGGGCGCCGAGTGGGGCGGCCACATGGAGCTGCTGGCGCTGGCGAGCACGTACGGCGTCGAGGTGCGCGTCGTGGCCGACGGCAGGACCGCCGTCGTGCGGCCCGCGGGGAGGGAGGGAGAGGAGCCGCTGAGGCAGATCTGGCTGGCATACTATAGGCACGGGTTCGGGCTCGGGGAGCACTACAACTCGCTGCGGAAGAAGGAGGCGGTGGTGTGAGTTTGGTTGGTGTGAGGGGGGGTTTGGTGCAGCTGGTGGTGGTACTGCTGCTGGACTTGGTGCTGCCAGTCTAGAGTACCAGCCAGCGCTGGTGCAAGAATTTGCTCGGGGCCCGATGGCGCAGTCCCGCAACCCTCACGGAGGCCTTTAGGCGCTAGCCCATGTAGCTGGGAACGGGCGTCTTTTGTTGCCAGGGCATTCGTTCTTGTAATGGTAATCATGATGAAAAAGGCCGCCGAGCGCCAAGACAAGGGCCACTTATTTGAACACTTTACATAACCCCATCAAAATACAAACTAGACTCGCTGCGCTGCACAGTCAGTGGCTAAACACGGCTATCCGGTCCCGGACGGTCCCGTCCTCCAGCACGCCGGCCTGGTGCGTCCGCCGCGGCACGATCAGCTCCAGGCGCCTGAGCCCCGCGGCGGATCGGGCCGCCGCCGCCGCAGCCTCCTCGCCGCCCGCGATGCGGCCCTCGTCGTCGTACCCGACGTCCTCGCCCGGGCGGGCCAGGTGCGCCACGTGGTGCTCGGGCCTCACCCCCCCACGGCGGCCCGCCCGTCGACCACGGCTTCTCCGTCGGCCACTGTAGGCACACGACGCGGCCGCCCGGCGCGAGGAGCTGCGTCAGGCGGCCGGCCCACGCCGGCCGGGCCGAGACGGGGAGTGCACAGAAAAACTGTCGAGGCGGGGGCGGGCGTCAGAGATGATATATGTGCATTTGGGAAGGTGCGGGGCTGCTGCTCACGGTATAGTCGAATATGAGATCAAACTTGTCCGCACCGGCCTCGCGGATCCAGTCGTCGGCAAAGAAGTCGCCGGTGAGCCTGATAAGGGGGCGTTTTTTTCATGCCCCGTGTAAGCAAGCAACTCGATAGTACATTATGGATACGGCGGTCACGCCCCCGACTGAAGACTAGGAAGAGAGAGAGAGACGGGGAGCCGCTACCATTTGACATGCCCCTGCGCCCGGCCGTCCCTCGGCCTGTACCTCTCGTCATTTTCCGCCCGGATCTTTTCCTGGTACAGCGCGGCCTCCTTGGTGGCCTCGGCCGAGTAGTCGACGCCGTAGGCGTCGTAGCCGAAGGCGGCGAGCAGGAGCACGTCGTAGCCGCGGCCGCAGCCGGGCACGAGCGCCTTGGGCCTGGCGGCGGCGGACGGCGGCGGCGGCGGCGGGACCAGGTCGGGCCGGTCGGCGAGCAGGTCCTGCAGGGCCATGCTCGGGCCGGCGCGGTCCCAGGGCGTGAACTCCTCCCTCCAGAGGCCGTCCCAGCGGCTGCCGTGCTCCGCGAGCGGCTGGTCCTTGAAGAGGTTGAGGAGCTTGTCGGGCTGCTGGATGGCCATGGTTGGTGGTTGGGCTGTGTTGGTTTGGGTTGGTTTGGCTGTGCACAGTATTCCCCCGTCTCGGCATCTGTGGGGTTGAAGTTTTGGGGACGACGGGGGAGCGGAGCCGGGCTGGCTTTTAATGCCGGTCAGGTTCTTGAACGGCTTCTACGGGAAGGCATGGGATGCATTTTTGTTACGTGGGTGGACAGTGTGGTCGCCGACCTCCTCGGACAAGAGGCTCGCACCCGCTTCTGGGTGGGCAAGCCCATCGGCGACCTATAGCTCCTGCAGGATTCGTATACTACGTGCGTAGGTACAAAGGTAGCAGATACACGCCGACGAGGCAGGCAACAGAAAGACGGCGACTTCGCCGGTTGCATTGACAGCCAGCCGAAGCCGAGGCACATACGGGATCCACAGTCCCCGCAAATCTCACCCAGCGAACTGTACCTTGGGTGCATGAGGTACTTGAGGTACCTACGCCGACGACAACGCCAAAGACCAGGAAAGAACAAACATCAGCCAGCCAAAAAAAACAAGAACAAAGATGGACGTCAGCAATCTCTTCAACGTCTCTGGCAAGGTAGTGTTGGTCACGGGCGGCGGCCGCGGGATCGGGTACATGATCGCGCAGGGCTACGTCGAGAACGGCGCCAAGGTCTACATCTCGTCGAGGGACGCCGCGTCGTGCGAAAAGGCGGCAAAGGAGCTGACGGCCAAGGGTGAGGTCACTCATTCACTCACACGCACCTCTTTTGTTCCAAACTCACTGACCCCACCCCCCAGGCCCCGGCAGCGCCGTCGCCCTCCCGGCGGACCTACAGTCGCTAGACGAGTGCAAGCGCCTGGCGGCCGAGCTCTCGGCGCGCGAGCCGCGCCTGCACGTGCTCGTCAACAACTCGGGCGCCGCCTGGGGCGACAGCTACGACACGTACCCGGACGGCGCGTGGACCAAGCTGCTGACGCTCAACCTGCAGCGCGTCTTCACCCTGACGCAGCTGCTGACCCCTCTGCTCGAGGCGGCGGCGGCGGCGGCCGCCGCCTCCTCCCCCTCGGACCCGGCGCGCGTCATCCACATCGGCTCCGTCGACGCGCTGCGCGTCCCCGCCCTCGCAAACTTCGCCTACAGCGCCTCAAAGGCCGGGCTGCACCACCTCGCGCGCGCGCTCGCGCTCGAGCTGGGGCCCCGGGGCGTCACGAGCAACACGCTCGCGTGCGGGCCCTTTGCCACAAGGATGATGGCCGCCACGCTCGACTCGGCCGGCGACGCCATCCGGGACGCGAACCCACTCGGCCGCATCGGGCGGCCCGAGGACGTCGCCGGCGCGTGCCTGTGGCTGTCGAGCAAGGCCGGGTGCGTTTTCTGTCTCTTTGTCTCCTTTTCCCCGTGTGCCTTGCCCGCTGTGTTTCCCCTTGTTCTTCGGCTAACCCCCCAGAACGCAACCGCAGCTCGTACATCAACGGTGCCACCATCCCCATCGACGGTGGCTTGTCGCTGGTCTCCAAGATGTAAGGGTAGAGCCTCAAGTAGATGTACCACCAGAGCCGTTCGCATTGTATAGACAATATTGGTTTATCGTCCCATTTTCCTGTGATCGACCCAGTTTCTGCCCTGTCGATCGGGATGGGGCAGGCGAGGGAGCGGAAAGCCGCATGCAAAAATGGGCGGGTGAGTTGTTGCCAGCGCCGCCTGGTCCCGAAGTCGAGGGGTGCCATCACCCAGATCACCTGCCCACCATAATGCCGCCACCCGCCCCGATCCCCTCCATGTCACCGTGGCCGCGTGATCTGCAACAATAGTAAACGTTGGAACCAGATGTGAAAGTGACAAAAGTGACCAGTTCGGCCATGCTTATATCGTTTATCGAAATCCCAGAGGGTAGAGTATCTGATCTACATTGCGAGAAATGTTGGCCAAGAGAGATGAGGAGGCCTAGAGTGTTGCCGCCTGACGCCTTGTACTTCGGTCCCAACTCCTCAGGAAAGCCCATTTGTTGTCTCAAGGTGGATTAAAAAAACGTAGAGTAGAGGAAATAGACCAAAAAAAAAGAGCAATGCTAACGCAGAGACAATATCGGGTATATGAGAAAACGTGATGTCGTCAAAAAGGGCGGTTGACGTAAGGAAATGTCATTGCGAGAACGGAAATGTCACCCCCCAAAAGAAGAGACAAGAAAAAAAGAAGTCATGCAAGGGAGAAAGAACAAAGACCCCGCGTCGACTGAGTCGTGTCGAGAGGTTTGGCAGGGATGGGGGAGGTCCCTCATTCGTCGTTATCTCTAGGCGGTGGACGAGCAGAGACGAGAACGAAAACGTGCAACCACCACCTACCGCCGAGCCCAGCCTGAGAAATAAAGAAAAACCCCCCGACGGTTATCCGAACATGTCGGTCCCAACGTAGGCGAGCGGGGCCACCCCCTTCACCCATCAGTGTTCCCAATGGAGAGGAACAAAAAAGACAGGCTGGGGGTGGCTCAAGATTCTCCCGGCTAGAGAGTGGCCGATCCACTTGTCTCCCCGTGGGTCGGTTTGCTTAGGGGCTGCCCTTTCATGCCTGCCCCCTGCCCCATACTCTGCCATAAGGGTTCCGAGGGGCGAGCTGGTCCCATTCACCCGATAATGCCTGCCGAGGGAGTGGGAGTGAAGGAGAGGGAGAGTGCCCGCGACGAGGGAGGGAGATGGTAGTCGACGAGGAAACCGAAGGCGGTTCTTCCGGCACTGATGATGGCGTGCGGAGCGGAGAGAGATGGCTGCTGATTACAGGGCTGATTGACGGCTCGAAAAATAGAGCCTCACGACGACCCGTGGGGTTTTCTTTGTGTCTGGGGGGGGGGGGCGGTCCGAGGTTTTTTTTTTTTTTTCCTTCTTCCCTCGCGATAATGACCTCACAGGCCGACGCTTTCGAAATCCCGCATCAGCACGGCCATCTGCGCGCGCTTGGCCGCCTCGGCCAGGAGGGTGAAGTCCTTGAGGTAGGCGTCGGTCGACTGCGACTTTGGGCAGGGCGGAGGGACGCCCATGACGGTCGGCGACGTCTGGGCCGTCGAGCCCGTCGATGTCTGTTGCGCGTGCGCCGGCGAGGCGATGGGGGCGTCCATTTTCGGTGGTGGTTGTGGTTTGGTGAGGGCGATATCAAGGGGCTGGTAGTCTTGTGATGGATCTTGGGCCTTGTGTTGTCGTGGACGGAACGTGTGATGCCGAGAAAGTAAAGAGAAGAAGGAGGATGGCGGTGGGAAGGAAAGCTTTGTCTTATGTGCTTTCCCGGGCTTTGATTTTACTTTATTTTTATTTATTCTGGATTATCTTATTCCACCATCGTCTGGGCGCAGAGAGGAGACTGGTGGAGGAGGGGTGGGCACAGATCGAGCCGGCGGAGTGAGTGGGTTGCGATAAGTCAGGGTCGGGCGCAATGGGCAGGTGGGAATCAGTGGGTAGGAATCAGTGGATAGATGAAGGCACAAGCGAGGTCCGGTCAGACAGATTGCATCAATGAAGACAAAGCCGAGCGAGTCGTCGGAATAAATAACACAGCCAGATGGCTTCGGTCAGCTGGAGAGAGGAGGCCCGGCTAAAACAAAGCGCAAACAGCAATCTGGGCATGGTCTGGCACAGGATGGCTAAGGCTCGCTTGCGATAACTTGCTTTTGGGGGTGGCCGCTTCTAGACGTTCTGGCTTGGGCCTTTTTATTTTTTTAGCCTTTCCTGGCCTTCTCCCGAGGAACCCCCCTTCGTGAAATGGAAGCACAACGTCATGATGCCCGGTCTCACGCACACACACACGCACACACACTTTCGTGGGGGAGTGTTCAAGCAGGCCGTAGTGTGTGCAAGTACACCCCTGGTACCTCGGCAGGACCTTTGCGGGGTGTCGGGTAGCCATACTGGAATGACTGAAGAAGCCCCTGGAAAGGTATCCATTTGTACTGCACCGCCAACCCCCCACGGCTGAGATGGCCATCCATGTCAGACCATGGAAGCCTCGTTTGCAGGTTCGCAGGTTCGCAGGTGTCCGCGTTATCTGGGAGCAGCAGCCACACTCACACACGACATGATAATAATTTAAATGCTGGTAGGTATTTGTGGATGCCTGCCTGCCTGCCTGCCTGCCTGCCGCCGCCGCGCTAGAGGAGACCGAGACCAGAATTCACGTATGATTTGGCCATGGACCTGCATGAAAATGGCAGCATCGCAACATGGTGGCTGTTTGCAGCCTGACCGCCTCTAATTCATTATTTTCTCGTCTGGGGACTCGGTCCGAGAGCGCACTAGGCTGCGGTAGGAGGTAAATGCTTGCACGGCACTCGCTGCGCTTGAACCCACTCTGCATGCAACTTGGACGATATTATTGCCCGGCCAGATCGCCGCTGGCTGCACCTCTCTCGCGACCTCTTTTTCGCTTCTCCCAGAGCTGAGCATGCTGCGTGCCTTGCTACCAGACCAGGTGGGGCCCCTCTTTTCGCACCCAAAGTGCGTGCGTCCATTGCCGCCTCCCGATTGATGGATCCAAGCTCCCGGCAGACAGAGCCTGCCAACCAGGGTGATTGCAGGGTGGGGTTATCGCGGGCGGGGTGGGGTTCAAGTGTGTTGTGCAGGGGGTGGTCTGCCATCTGGACGAAGGTAGAGAAAATAAGGCAGGGAAAATAGACAAAAAATTCACGCTTCATATCGAGCCTGACAAGCAAGACCCGAAAAGCACCCATCACGCCAACGAGCCGACAAAGCCAGCCCACACTTTCACCCGCGCGCGAAATGCATCTGCATCCTTGACCGGCCACTGCAGGTGGTGCGATTATTGCTACTGCCTGCTCACCGACTCTCCCTTGTTCCCATCCATGGCCTCCCCCCAGCCCGCGCCGCGGCCGCCTCCCGCCCTGCCGTCCAAGCCGCCCCCCTCCCTCCTCCTCCTCCTCCTCCGCTACCGGATACTCGCTCCTCTCTGGCCGCATCCCCGCGCCGCTGCAGCGCCTATTCGACGCCTTCCCCCTAGCCACCTACCCGCCCAATGACCTGCCGGCCCGCTGTCCGCTCCCCGCCGAGAGGGACCTGCCCACCCTCCATGTCTTCATCTCGGACGAGGACGCCGCCAGGGGCCGCCCGAGCTTCAACCCCACGTGCCTAAAGTGGCAGGTATGCGGTGGCTGAACCGGCCTCCCCCCCCCAGATGCTTCGATCAGAGCGCCTGTCTGGCTGCTGACTGGCATCCCTCCCTCCCTGCCCTTTCGTAGACCTTCCTGAAGATCGCCGGCGTCGACCTCCGCCTCGTGTCCTCGACCAACCACGCCTCACCAAGCGGCGCGCTCCCCTTCCTCCTGCCGCCCATCGTCGCCGCCGCCGACCCCCCGGTCTCCTCCAAGTCCCCACCCCCCACGTCCCCGAACCCGGCCCCCATCCCGGCCCACAAGCTGCAGGCATACGCGCGCGCGCACGGCACCACCACCACCACCACCACCACCACCACGGCACCGCCGCCACCCGGCCAGCAAGCAGCCGCCGCCGCCGAGCCGGCCTACGCAGCGCTGCTGGACCACGCCGTCCGCCGCGCCTGGCTGCACGCCCTGTACGTCAGCCCGGCCAACGCGCCGCTCGCGGCCCGCCTGTACCTCGCCCCGGCCAGCCGTCACCCCCTCGTGCGCTCCGCCCTGCGCGCCAAGCTGCGCGCCGCCGCCGCCGCCGAGCTCGCCTCGACCCGCAACGGCGTCGACCCGCCCCCCGAGGCCGAGCTGTACGCCGACGCCCGCGCCGCCCTCGCCGCCCTGGCCCAGCAGCTGCTGCCGCCGGAAACGGAAACGGAGGTGGAGGAGGAGGGGTCCCGTACACCGTCGTCGGGCTGGTTCTTTGGCGCCGCCGCCCCCGGCATGTTCGACGCCGCCGTCTTCGCCTACACCCACCTCCTCCTCCCCGGCTCCGGGCTCGAGTGGGTGGACCGCCGGCTGCCCGAGGCCGTCGAGGCATTCCCGGCCCTCGTCGCCCACCGGGCCCGCATGCTGGCCCGCCTTTGGGACGAGGAAGGGGCTGCGGGCGAGTGGGAGAAGGTTTAGGAACCGGTGCAATGTTGCCCCGTTGTTGAAACCATGTCATCGTTGTAATATATGAACAAGTACGGCTTCTATGACGGGCCCCGTACATGCTTGATAGACACAAAATACCCGACATAGAATCATCAGGACCCTCGTGCCAACACAACCACGGAACCCACGGGTAGACAGCGTCACATCTCGGCATCTCGGGAGCCCGGGCGGTCAAGTCTATGTATACCTAAGCATAAATATTCTACTTCATACAGCTTAAATGACGACTGCGCGGCCGACCTGCCCGCGGGGCATTATGTCGTAGCCCTCCACCAAAAGACAAAAACTTTCCCTCCCACCCGTTCGTTGCGGTCCGATATTGCGCATTGTTCTGCTGATGAGCGGGGATTTGAAGTGAGATAGGG